ATATTAAATTTATATTTTAATTTGTATAAGTTTGTAAAGAACACTGTTAATTATTCATCTTTATATATATTATATAATTTTTATTCCAAAGTTGGTTACATTCAATTTATAAGTTATAAACAGTTTTCGTTTAATAATATTAATTCATTTTTTATTTTTTATTTCACTGTTTGTATTACATTACATTTATAATTATCATTAAGTTGATTACATTTATGTTGTTAAACTTAATAAATGAGTTTCAAGTTTGCAATTGTTATTAATTGTAATATATTATATGCATATCAAGAAGGATATATGCATATCCGTAAGGATAATTCAAACTTATTTTATGCACTTGGTCAATTTTTGTTATACCTATCTAATTTAAATTTAAATTAATCACAAAAATAAATATACATTGTACAAGATTGTTATGTTGTGCAAGGTTTACAATTTTTGAAATTTTCAGACATCATTCTCAAAGTTAATATGGAAAATTCTGAAATATATATATACATACAATTGTATAGGTACTAATTAAATATGTACAAGTATTAACTATGGATAATTTTTGAATATTATACATTTATTCGGCAAATATATTCAATGAATATTCATTTATTGCATAATGAAACTTCTGAAAACATATACAATGGATGTTTATAGGTGGAACATTTATTTATTCTTTTAATCACCTTTGGTGATATATAGTATGAAATCGGATAATCCCAGAATATGCTGTCCATCCTACAACTATATTCTTGGAATATATCAAGAATAAATTATTGCTAACTGGGTATAGTGTGTACCTATACAATATAATATTATAGTTCCATAAAAAAATATGTAAAATTATTAAATCTTTACGGATAAGGGTTCCCAAACTTTAAAATTCTATAATTTATAATTGGCGGAAAAAGGAATGACGTTTTTTCTAATTTGGCGGAAAACGGAAAGGTAATTTTTGGTGGAAACCGGTGACACCCGTTTACACGTGCATGTTTGTTGTGGCGCCATCATGTACGCCAGTTAAAATGTATCGCCAGTAATTGTTTACACAGTTTAGCATCAATCTCTCGCCACTTCATTACGTTCGTTGTTGATTTGTATGACTGTTGTAGTTCCATGTTTTTATTATTTTTCAAATTTTTAATTAATCATACTTATAATTATATTTTAAACTAATTAAAATGTCGGCTGAAAAGGAATTACATTTTCGTCATGCTTGTAAAATAGTATTAAAATTAGTAACTGAACATATCATATCAGATTTAGAAAAAAAAAGTAAAAAAAAGAATAGGTCAGTCTGGGTAAGGAAGTGGATTGCTAGAAGACAACATTTTGGAGCATCCGATATACTTTTAAAAGAACTTGCGTTAGAAGATCCAAATTCATTCAAAAATCATTTAAGAATGTCATCAGACCTTTTTGAAACCCTACTGCAGCATGTTACACCATCAATAGAAAAACAAAACACAACAATGAGAGACGCATTACCAGCTAGATTAAAACTCCAAATTACATTAAGATATTTAGCATCCGGAGACTCATTTGCTTCATTGCAATACTTATACAGAGTATCGAAGTGTACGATTTCAAAATTTCTACCTGAAGTGTGTGATTCTATTTACAGTGTGCTTGAAAATTACATAAAAGTAAGTAGTTACATGATCTAACACAATTTAATTTTACTTTATTTTTTAATAAAATACAAAATTAAAAAAAACCTTTAAAATTAACATTATACCTTCATTTTATGAACATAATTTTTAAAAATAATATGATAGCAATTAATATTATTTTATTACAAGAATATAAAATAATTTTACTCATTTAACATATATATATCTTCCTGTAAAATGTTTGTAACAGCTCTCGCTAAAATATCTGATTGAGTATTTTGAGAATTTTCATTACTTGAGTATCCAAAAGTATTGATTGGTGAACCCGTAGTATATGATGGACTAGAATAACTGTTGTAGTTTGATGAAGATGGTGAAAACGTTATATTTTCATTAATAGCAGATGCTCGATGATTTTGATTGACAGTGCCTTTTAAACGTTGTTGAGCCAAGTATGTTTGAATATGTGCCATCGATTCTACAGCCAATGTTTCTGGAAGTTTTTTCAACATACATGCGATAGTTTTTCCGAAAAAGTCAAATTCATTTTCTTCTGGTTTTTCGTCCAACTTGCTCGATATTTCTCGAAGATCTTGTATAGCACGTTCTGTGCTGTTCATATGAGATTTAATAACAGTTTTTGATTTTTTTGGTGCAATGTTTAATTTTGGAGCTAGTCGTTTGTTATTTTGAGAAAAACTTGGAGAAGGAAAATTGATTGTTTCATCCATATTATTCGACTCATTTCCAAACTCCGTGTCTTCTGTATCATCATCGTTATTTGTAGTTTCATTCAAATAATTGTTTTTTCCCTGAATAAAAAAAATTAAAAATTAAGATTCAAATACATTTTTTCTTACTCAAATACATTGTTCTTTTTTTAAAAGTAGTGCTAATTTTTATCAAGTAAATAATTAATTAAAAATTTTTTCATTTATTTCGTTTTTTATTTTTTTATATTACATTTTTTTATAGGTTCCAAATACCCAAGAAGAGTGGGATGATATAAAAAAAGGATTTTCAAATAGATGGAATTTTCCGGGCTGTGGTGGAGCCCTGGATGGCAAACATGTGGTTTTAAGAGCCCCGTTTCATTCAGGATCGAACTTTTACAATTATAAAGGCTCATTTAGCATTATTTTGTTTGCACTTGTCGATGATCAATATTGTTTCAAATATATAGATGTTGAATCTAATGGAAGGGCATCTGAAGGGGGTGTTTTTTTCAAAATCTAGTTTAAAGAATGCCGTGGAAAATAATTTATTAAATATGCCACCTAATACAATATTTGTAGCAGATGACGCATTCCCACTTAAAGATTATCTATTGAAGCCCTATTCTCATCACGGCCCATTGACAATAAAAGAAAGAGTTTTCAATTACAGACTATCACGTGCTAGACGCATCGTTGAAAATGCATTTGGTATTCTTGTTTCTAGATTTAGAATATTTGAAAAACCAATTGCATTGTCTCCTGAAAAGGCAGATAATATTGTAAAAACAACGTGTGTTTTACATAACTGGTTAAGAATGAATTCTTCCTCTTATCTTAACCGGGGTTGTGTTGACGAAGAAGACCATGAAAATGGAGTAATAATTGATGGAACATGGCGAAAAGAAATTCGAGGACTGGGATTACCAGATTTGACTAGTGCTAGTGAGAGTAATAATTATACAAAAAATGCTTCAAACTTAAGAAATAATTTGGCTGATTGGTTTATGGGAGACGGAGCCGTACCTTGGCAAATGAATATGCTTAATCTCAAGAAATAATATTATATTTATTTTTATAATTTTTAGTATTCTTAAATTAAATTTGTATTATACTTACACTTATTTCAGTTGATTGTGAATCTCGTGTTTGTACTACTTGGTGTAAAATTCGATGAGCAATTGGAAACCATTTTACATTTGGCTTATATGTATCATCTATTCCTGCTCCAGATTTCTTGCTTTTTTGAATTTTAGCTAATTCTAAAGTATAAGTATTCCTTAGAGATCTTATTTTTGCCTTCACTTCCGCCGATTCAAACCCCTCTATGTTCATTGCATTTGCAATTTCCCTGTACGCATCTTCCCGGGCAATCCTATCTTTATAGGTTTTTGAAAATACATCCCATAAGCACGGATGTTTTTCGTAAAGTTCGAAGAATTTTATAATTAATTCTCCGTTCCATTTTTTTGAAATTTTTGAAATTTTGAAAAGGTGCGACAACGCAAATAATAGGTACAAATTATTATACTGAAAATAAAATAGTCACTGGCGCGACGAAAAGTTGGAATTATCTGACTTTATTTTTCAATGCATGCAATCATTTCACTTGCACGCCAGTACATGTTTACACGTGCATGTTTATTTTTAGTGGCGCGCCAGTTGCAACTGGCGCCACAACAAACATGCACGTGTAAACCCAGCAATAGTTTAATAGTAGATTTCCCGCAAAACCGCATATACAATATACCTATATCTACTTTCAATGGAATCAAGTAGAATGTATAAACAGTAAACATAGCTAATAGCTATTAATATATAACATCCCAGTCATTCCCAGAAAATTCATAATTTTTAATTTGTAACTGTTACTATATAGTATGTTATAATATATATTGGTATATCGTATTAAAAATTAAAATATCATAAGACTCGATAATATCGAGACAATATATCGGTAAGGTTGTATCGATATAAAATTTCTCGATATATCGACTTCATGTAACAATATTATACATCGATATCGTTGCCATCCCTCCAACGAAAACTCGGGAAACCATAAAATAGCCCTTTTCATCCAAAGTCCGATGCGAATTGATATTGGTATACACTATACATTCATCATAAAGTTGATCTCTAGCAAAATTGGGCCAGTTAATCTCTGTGATATTTCCTATTGCACTATTTACAAGTCCTTGAGTTACATTTAAGTTGGTTCTAAGCATCACTTTAGCTCCTACGAAAATTTCAATTTCCTTTGGCAAACCTCCAGTTTTGTCATTATCTTTAGGAATTATAGAGTCAATTGATTTGTCATTCTCAAGATTTCTCATCGAATCCACTAATGTATCTTGTGCTTTGATTTTTCATCTTGACACCTTTGCTTTTGCAATAATTAAGCACTTTTTGATTATGATTGTTAACTTGAACAAATATTGTACTTGTATACATGATTAATCTGAAATAAAAATGTCTTTATTTAATATGTTTGATAAATTGTATTGTTGACGCCAGATAATATTTTTAGTTTTATTTTAATGTCTAATTGTCGCCGCACAACTATACCGCACAAACCGGTGTAGGTCAACGACCTATATTTGGTTTCTTAAATTCACACACACACACGCACACCCCCTACCTATTTGCTCGTGAATATTTATATTATTATTTATATTGTTATAATTGTGTCGTGCATGAATTATGTAAGATGAAGATAACTCCGGTCGGCCGTCGACGCCAAGAGTCAGCACGACGGCCGGGGCAGTCTGTCCATCCCGTTACGCCAACGCGGAAATTATTATTACGTGCGCTAATCGCCAAGATAATATATTTTGTATTTTGTGTTACGATCTTTTTAGTGTGCGCTAATGGCCACGATATTATTTATAATTTGTATTTGTACATTGTATTACAGCATAGGTAGCAGCTGGCCAGCCGTGCACCACAAATTGTGAGTTTTTGTATTATCATTTATTATTTATTGTAATTATTATCTATATTATTATCATTGTTGGGCCAGAAGGGCCGCATACCATGTTTACATTTATTATTTGTATACGAGAGCCAGCTCTAATACCTGCGTCAAGATTATATTTATTCGGTTACAGTCCTAAGGGCTTGATTTATTATTATTTTTATATCATTATTGTGTTGCTGTGATTTATTGTATTATTTATTATTTATCGTGTATTATACAGCAACCTATATTTACCAGCAACGGTAGTTTTATGTAATTGCACTACCATTAGTTTTTAAGCACACACACTCACATAAATACACACATACACATCACATTCATATTACGTAGCTCGTCAGTCTTCGTGAGGCGATCCCGACCGCTGCCGACTGAGTTACTCACACACAGTGACACACATATACACCATACACCATAGGTACAAGAGTCGGTAGGTAATTAGTGGTGCGCGCAAAGTATATCTGGTGTCCGGGCATTACTCATTAATATTTTTAGTACCCGGCATATTCATGTATAATTTTGGCAACTAAAAACTAAACTAGTAAAACTTACCAATGAATTGTACAAATGTAATTGCCAAGTATTCAATATTTCAATTCTCCAACTTGAGGAGTACTCATATGTTTGATTAAATTATTAAAAGAAAATACATGAAATACAATATGTAGTGTAGCAAGCTGTGACTATGTTTAAATATTATTATTTAATTCCCTCAAGTACCTAGTTATAAATAAACATGTGAAACACACAAAGTCACTTCAAAAAACAAGAAGAACTCTATATATATATATTAGTTGAAGGAGGCCTACAAAGCGTCCATTTGTTATAATACATGCAATAGTTCACATCAAAGGCGTTGTGTTGCCTCAACAGAGATGACAACGACCAGATAGACAAGGGACATCCAGTGTGTGCAGCTTGTGGCCGCCCACGGGATGACCTTATATGGTAAAGTAGTAGGATACTAAGCAGGGAAACGATCCAAGGAAAATCCATAAAATACGTCGTTCGAATAGGCTTCGACGAGCTAGGAGCTAGGAGTATAACAATCACATCTCGCTTGTTCCCATTCTTTAATTATAGTCAATTTGGACTTAGAAAATTTATCGTTTTGTAATAATCAAATAAAAGTATTTAATTTTTATAAAGAAAAAACAACTCTTCTTCATTTAATTTTACAACACCAACAAACGGACGTGGTCAGTTTGTTACAATTGGCGCTGTGGACAGGGTTTTGCAAAAAGAAAAAATTTAGAAACGGAGTATTTTTGAATTATTTCAAAATATTCCAACCAAATCAATTCGAGGAGGAAATTCTATCAATAGAATCATCGTTAGAAGTCGGTGACGATCAACTTTCAACAACTCCGCAAAAGAATCTTATCAGCAATACATCGATTACGATCCACAATCAAAATTAAATGGAGGTACCAACTACTCATACCTTGAATCAAGTCTCAGCTGCGTTGGTGTAAGTAATAAATATAATTTCGAATTTAAAAAAAAAATTGTTGTCTCCTATGGTATAGTTTATGGCCATAGTATATTTTAATAACACGCAATAATAAGTGGTAAAATTATAACATTTGAATACACGTATTAAGTATTTATTATTTTATTTTATTAGTTGAAATTATTTATCGATCATAAAAATAGACAATAATTAGAATATTCTGTATTTTTCTTAAGTACTTTAAATTTTAGTAAAACAAATAATTAAATAAAATTAAAAAAAAATATATATATAAACATAACATAATAAAAAATAATATTTCAATAAAATAAATTAAATTAAAAATATTTTTTTTTTAACAAAAGAAAAACAAAGAAATAATAAATTTAAATTTGTTGTATAGGTTCTAAGATCTTATTGCGTTGTTAATAAAATTTAATTTTATTGAGAATAAATAGTAATTAAATTAGTGAATAAAGTGAATATTAAAAAGAGAATAAGAGATATTAAATTGAGAATTGTCAAAAACATTGTGAATATTATTGAGAGTTAAAAATAATTTTATTATTGTGAATTATTGAGAATTAATTGAGTATTTTATTTAAAGGCCGTGTAGTAAGTCCTTCTGCTTTGAATTTTATTAGACAAGTTGAAGTCTATTTTATTAGTGAATTTTAAAGGCCGTGTAGTAAGTCTTTGTGTTTTGAATTTTATTAGACAAGTTGAAGTCTAATTTTTGTTGAATTTTATAGGCCGTGTGGTAAGTCCTAATTTGAGAAATTTTTATTGAGTTTTATTTAAAGGCCGACAAGTAAGTCCTTCATTGTTGAGAATATTGAATTTATTGTTGTTTATTGTGATTAATTTAGGCAAGTATAAGTCTTACGAATTAATTGATTAAAGGCCGGAATAAGTCCTTTTTGGTGAAAATTATAGAGAATTTTATTGAAGTTATTGTAACAATCTGACTACGCTCGTTTGATGGTGTTGGAAATAAATGAACAAGAGTTTGACTTTTCTTTATAAATTGAATACTTTTTATTTAATAAACACAAAACACAATAAATTTACTAAGTCCAAATGACTATTTAAAATA